GTGAGACTGACTGGCCTGTAGTTCCCCGGCTCTTCCTTTTTCCCCTTTTTTAAAATGAGGGTTCTGCACCGGACTGCCACGACTTCTCAAATACGATGGATAGTGGCTTAGCAACTTCATCCACCAGTTCCTTCAGGACCCGCAGAACGATCTCATCGGGTCCCATGGGCTTGTGCACCTTCAGGTGCCTTAGATGGTCTCCAACCTGATGTTTTCCCACAGTGGGCGGCTCTTCATTCTCCCAGTCCCCGCGTTTGCCTTTTTTATCCAAAAGTACAAACTATTGTCTGCTTCAAGTACAGTTCTTGACTCATTGCAGAATCCAATTTTCCTCAAAATTAAGTGAAAGTTTAAGTGAATTTTTAAACTGATCTTTAAATTTAAATGAAAAGTGCTTAAAAATTAAAATGTGTGCATACATTATATGCAATAAATTGATATTTCCTTTATTTTTTATAGAAATAAGTGAGACCAATGAATCTCTTAAAACCAAAATGTCTGAACTTCGTCTCTACTGTGATCTTTTAATGCAGCAAGTTCATACAATACAAGAATTTGTTCACCGTGATGAGACTCGCTCTCCTCCCAGCATTGAGGTACAGAATTTCTAGCATGCCATTGGAGAACCTAATTATATAATACACCTCAAGTTTCTGTTGACATCTTATGCCTTTTTCATCTCCCTAATGTTGGGAGATTTAACCTAAGGTCAATTTTTGAGTGCTTGTGTGTATATAATACTAACAGGTGTGTATATAATACTAACAGTGATTATATGTGCATAAAGTACCTGGATGATTCAACTGTAATTGTAACATGCATTAGGAAGCAACTGTGTTATTGAGTCATTTGGTTAAAAGGCCAGAAGAGCTGCCATATGAGTTATGCAATAATTTTGTCTTGTTTTGCATCTCTGTTATGGGCAGAGTAGTTGAAAGAATCTTGTTTGTCCATTCTTTACTTCCTTGTGTAGGAGGGTATTCCGTTTTGTTATCAGTGAAAGCTAGCGTTACAGGTATTGGAAACCTGTGGTGTAGATAAGTCTCTCTGAATATGCACAAGTAAAATTATTCTAGTATTTCTGCTTTTGAATGAAAGTTAGTACTGGAAATTATGAATGGCTTCATTCTTTACACTCTTGAGCAGCGTGTGGACAATATTGTTGTCCACTTAGGGCAAAGCAAGGGGTTCATGCTTAGTCACAGCACAGCAAATTGTTGTCAATTTACAGCAAGGTGAAACTGACCTGCAGGCTCCTTGCACTGGAGTGATAAACCTGTTTGCACGTTCTGCTCCAATGCACTTGTTTCACTGAATGATCTTCTGATACCAGTTAGTCACTCTGAAACAAACTTTGCAGTAAAAATATTACAGCATTGTTGGCTGATACCCTAAAGAAATTCGGATGTCAGAAAGAAATCACAATGCTGTCACATTTGTGTGCTTAAATTAACCTCATTGGAAGGTGTACATTTGATTAAATAAAATGGGAAATGGAAGTTCTTAGTGGCAAGGAGGGAGATTAGTGTGTGTGTGTGAGTGGTGGTGGGGGAGAGTTGTATTTGCATATTTTCTTTTTTTTTTCTTGCTTATGCTTGTGCTTTCATTTATTTTCAGAACATGAATGAAGCCTCTTCCTTGCTTAGTGCCACATGTAATACATTTATCACAACACTTGAAGAATGTGTGAAGATCGCTAATGCCAAGTTTAAGCCAGAAATGTTCCAGCTGCCTCACCCTGATCCCTTAGTTTCTCCTGTGTCACCATCACCTGTCCAAATGGTTTAGACATTTTGAAATACTATTTTTTTCGAAGTGTCATATTGTTGGTTGGATGGGGGGAAGAATGGCAGAAGATTATGCTATTGCTATGTGCTATGATGTCAACAGTTGAAATCTTAACTCCGTTATGATCAGTACTGGCCCTAAATATAAATCAATAATTTTCTGTTCCCAGTCTTTGCTAGCCTTTACATAATCAGAGTAATTTATCATACATGTCAAGGCCCTGTAACGAGGTATCTTGTAAATGAACGAGGTTTAACTTTTCCTCAGTTCAACTGTTTCTTCGTTTTTTAGAATGCTAGCTGTACACTGATCTTAAAAATTTCATAACCTTGCCTCCTGTTTAAACAGATAAGTACCTTGTGGCTTGAAGCACTTCAGCAAGATAGCATATCTTTCAGTGTATATAATTCAAATGTTTGTATTAATCTAACATGCCCTTATTTAACAAAAAGGTAAATAATGGTAAAGATATTACTTGCATAACTCTTCATTACTGATTTATTTCCCTTAGAAGGACAGTGTGTGTGGAATCATCTTAAATGTCTTCTCGATCATGCGTATAGATTCCAAGATGAGCTGTATTGTGCGATTTTGTTGTGGGAATCCCTTTCTTTGCACTTGGATCTCTTGTCTCTTTATCTTCAATCAATTTACTTACAAAGCTGATCATTATTGATTTAAATTAATAAGTTTCTTTGATATGCATAGAGATTTGACAGTGATACCAGAAGAACCACAAGGAATCAAGAGGCAGGGTTTGGCTTTATTGTGTAATGGGGAATTTAAGCTGGCATTTGGTAGAGGAAAAATGTCTTGATATTTCTGTACATCATAGCAATTAACAAATGGCTCTGTGAGTAATTTTGGAGCAAGAGAGAATGAATTCCGTAGTTTACTACAAAAAATACTTATCTAGTTTCTATTTCCTGTGTGAATGCTTTAAAACTTTTAATATTGATGGCAATCCATCTGTTTTCATATAGTCAAATCAGATTTTTAACTAAGAATGGTTGCTTTTGATTAAAAAAAAAAAAGATTGCCCTCCCTCTTTGTAGATACTGTAAATAAAGTAAAAATTAATGTAGGTACGGATATTCTTATAAGTAGCTTGTGACATTTTTAGTGTGGTTTGTTTGGGTTTTTTGTTTGTTTTGTTTTTTTCCCCCCTAGATGAAGCGTTCCATTAGTCACCCTGGTCCTTGCTATTCAGAAAGGTAACTTTCTATTTCATTAAGCTTTTTTTGTATGTCTCAAAAAAACCTCCCTGAACCTGCTAGCATTAAAATCAAAACGTGAGAATTGTTCACTTGGGGGGGAAAAAAAATGGAACAGCATAAATTGATCTAATTTTGAAAATTAAGGGTGCAGATTATCAGTGTCGGTGGCAAATAATGCAGCTGCTGTCTCTACTACACTATAAAAATGTCTTCATGCTAGAAACTTTATGCAAATGACTTATTCTGACAAGTTCATAAAATTAGATATAGAGCTTGAAATGCTAACATTCTTTTTGGGTCAGTATTTCAGATTCTCAAATTATTTTCTTCTGCATGCAAAGATTATGTTATATTTTTATTTCCATTTTCAGGCTTTATAATTATGAAAGTTAAGAATGTTCTGTTGACTGTGCCATTTTTAGCTTAGTATAGTGAAAAACATTGATGCTAACAGTTTAATATAAGCACCAAAATTATTTTAAATTTAAAGTATATTGAGTTTGTGTGGGTTGTTACAGATTTTGCTTACTAATAGATCTCATTTCTTTTATAGGAATAATCACTCTGTAAAAGAACCAATTTCAGCTCTTCACAGATTTTCACAGCGGCGCAGAAGAACATACTCGGATACAGAATCTTACAGTGATACTCCCTTTGAAGATTCTCAGAGTAAGTTTGGAAGAGGGTTGGTTTTCTTCTGTATCTTTTCGTACAATTTATTACCCTGTTTACAGCAGCTGTTCTAGTGCTGATCTCAGCACAAGGAAAAAAGTTTTCTTAGTTATGCAAAGTTTTGGTTGTAAGATTTCTATATTATAAATCGAAGCACTTGTGTAGTTTGTTATGTGGCTGACTTTTGCTGGCTTTCATTCATATTGAAAAGGATCTTATAGCGGGAGTAGTTGTATTGAAATCAGTGAGGCTACTGGCAAGATAAAATGAGACATAACTAGAAAAGGGATGTTCGTACTAACAGAATCTTACATGAATGATGTTCTGGTAAGTGGTGTGGAATACTGTTGTTTGCCACGTGCTTGTTGTCACAAATCAAATTCTCCTTTCTGTGACCCCTGTGTGTGTGGGGTTAATTTCCACCCAGTGCATTACAGAAAGATGGTTCATTTCAGTGGCGGCTTGCCTTTTGTAGAGAACAGCACTGTTCTGAAAGAGTGCAGCCTTGCCAATAATAAATAAAAGCAACCCAAAAATTATGAAATTATGTCATTATCAGAATATTATTCCCTCCTGATTAGATGGGCCTATTGAGTTAGTAGCTAGTTCTTCTGTGGTTTTCCTTTTGAATCTTGCTGTCACTTTGACTCCATCCTAACTCTTCTCAGGGAGATTTTAACTTGACTAGTTCTGGTTTAGTCTTGCTTCCTTTTGGAGAGCCTAGTGCCTCACTTGGCTTGAAAAAACCTGAGGCCTGTGCATTGCTGAAAGCCCACATGAGCACAAAGAGGTACTAATACTTTACATTCTATCATGAAGCAAGTATTCGCACCTCTGCACCATTTCCTTGGTTCTCTGATGCTCACATGTTGCAGGGTGACCACCTCTTTCACCTCACTCATCTGCTACCAGCATAGGGTATGCCAGCATGTATCCCAAGCTAATAAACTTAGTTTAGATCCTATTTTGTGTCTCATCGCTAATGTAGGTGCACATTAGTCTAGCTTCCTATAATGCAAGGCTTTTGTTGTTACCATCTGGACCTTCTGGCATTGGTTAACCAGTCTGACTCTTTTCAGGACTGCTGAGAAGAGTCTTTGTCTTGTGTGTTTCTGCTAATACCACGCTTTTTTGGTTCCTTACCATGTAGCTCTAGTTTCTAGCTCAGTTTCTCTTTCTTTTGTTTTCTTTTACTGTGTTAGAAGCTCCCTCTGCTACCTTCCAGTTACCTTAGTTCTTTCTCTTCCCTGTCCGGTAGCCTAGCAATACTCAACTTGCAGTGAGTCATCCATTTCATTTTAATAATAGAAAATGTTTTAATTAAATGCTTATCAATGCATCAGTTTTTAAAAAAAAAAAAAAAATTCATGTGTTCCCCATACAGAATACTTCTGCACCTCACAGATTACTGTCCTTCATAATGTAAAAATTACTGTGTGGGGAAAAAAAAAATTACTTGATTTATACTAGCTGAACATTCTTTATATCCATCATCCTTGGGCATGATATTGATTGAAATCTTTCAGGAAAAGTCCAGACTAATTATGCTACTGATGGCTTATGTATAGGAAATAGTTAGCAAATAGAATAACTGACAGATTGAATGAGGTTTTTTGGGGTTGAAAATGAAATACTTATTGATATCTTCATAGGATCTGCTCACTGTTCTAGAAGTGCTGTCAATGGAGATCTGGTATCATCAACCATTCCTGAAGAAAATAGATCAGTATCAAAGGAAAGATCTGAACTGGAAGAGACTCTTTCATCCTTTTCTTCTTGAAAAAAATGAAAGTATTCAATTTTCTATAAATAATGCTATGCAAATGCTGCTGTAATTATACTGTTGTTATAGGAAGTAGTCATTTCCCTTTTTAGAAGGATTTCTCTGCACTTTATAGAACAATATAAAAACTATCTTTGAAGTGTATTTTATCTTTATATAGTTTATTTACAAGAGTATTTTCCTAATATTTCACAGTTTGAATGTGCATTTTTTGGAACAAATGATGGCTTAACAAATAAGCATCCACATTTGTAAATGTAGCTCTTTTTAAAAAGTGTGAAGGTCTGACTGATACATTAGTAAACCTGCAGGTTATAAACTTTAGCAAAAAGGTTTCTCCTTTTTTTTTTTTTTTTTTTTTTTTTTTTTTTTTTTTTTTTTTTTTTTTTGAGAAAATGCAGCTTGTGCCATGGGCCTTTTGGTCATTTGTACCAGGTCATCCACCAGGAGCTGTGATTAACCCTGCCGTGGCTTTTTTGCCTGTGTAAGGGCTGTGCGAATGGGCACTAATGGGTCTACTCTAGCAGCTTGACGGTAATTGACATTGGTTTCTTTAAAAACATAAGGATATACATAATCCAGTCCTTATTTTTAGCCAATGAAAGTAGAAATATTTAGTGTATTTTTCTAAACAAATGTATAAAAATAACTTAATACGAAGCATTTGTACCAAACATTGGATATTTAATAATTTTTATTTATTTATTCTTTTTTGCATCAAAAATTTCTACCTACTTTCACTTCTAAAGATCTACTAAAGGCTTCAAAATGTGCATAAACTGTTTCTGGGGTGTGTAGCGTCACAAGTAGCTAATGCAGCACTGTTAAGATTTACTCACTTAAGATGTGTTTTTAGCAAGTATTATAGAAGCAAGAGTTGAAATATTAGACCATTAAACTGCTGTTGTAATGAATATTTGTATTTATACATATTTTATTTATAACATATTTATACAAAAGGGAGCTTCTGTTTTTGTGACTCCTTTATGTCATTTGAGGATGGTATACAGCAGGAGCTGGATTCTGCTTTCGGTTACATCAGTGTAAATTTGCATTAACTGTAAGTGAGATCGGAGTCTGACTCTTAATAATTAATGAGTAATATAGTATAACAGTGCCTACTGGCACCTTGGTCCTTAAGGTTTAGTGTTAGCATTGTAAGCTTTTTGGGGATTTTTTGGGATAAACTTGGTCTATAAAGTTTTAGCTGTAGAGCACTTTAAGCAAGCCATTTACTGTTTTTGATTTACACAATTGTTAAATAAATGTACAGGGGTTTTTGCACTCAAGCACATACCAAAATCTGTTTTTATAACCAAATCTTCTTTAATTTGGTTTAACTAGTCTTCCTTTCGTGTATATGAATAATTTGGTGTTTTTGAAGCAGGCTGGAAAGGACAGATGGGAGTGGAATGGAAGCTTTCTTTATAAATTTCTGGAATGTTGATTTATCTAAATCAAAATAGGTTCAAACATTGAGGAAAAACACATGAGCTGATGCCCATATATAAAATAGCAGTTTATAAATATTTATGTCAGGGTCGAATGGAATGGCTCGTACAAGTAAAGTTATTTGTGGATACCAGCTCAGAGCTGTCATTTGTGCTCAGTTCTGTCAGTTTTCATGCAACTAGTATTTGCATATGCATATCAGCCACACACATGCTTGTACATTTTTTTTCCTGAATGTTTGCTTTAATGTATTCTATGTGACACTTATGACAATTGTAAAAATAAGTATTAAAAAAGATGCTTAGAGAAGTAAACTACATATTGCAATGAGAGTGTTGTCTTGGGTCATATGCTGTCTTAGAGGTACTTTTTGAAATTTTGCTGAGGTTTCTGCCAGCTTGTACAGTGTTAAGTACATGTCGCTAACAAATATCTCTTTCTGGCTTCCAACTACTACAGAGAAAATAGTTTGGACTCCACATTGTGCAAAAAAACTCTGAGACTGATCAGTGCATGTAGTAAATGATAATTTTAAATACTGCCACAGATAGGATTGTTTAGACAAAAGTTGTAATAATTAGATTCAAGCACAAAATTTGCATATAATTACTTCAGCACTGTTTTGGGTTTCTCCATGCCTAAAGCTGGAATGATGGTTTTGTATACATGTAACATGTTCCTGCTAAAGTTAAATCAGACTTTTTATATATACCTGTGCCAAACTCCGTGGCAAAAATCCTAAAATGTATTTCGATGAAATCAGTGAAGATGATATGCCATCATCCTTTTGGCATCTGGAGCTAAGAAGTCATTTCTGAAAATGGTACTTAGCTGGCTGAATCACAATGATCCACGTGTAGTAAGACTAAAAAAAATCTGGATGCTCTTACATTTTCATTTCCAAGTTTAGGGGAGAGCTTATCAGGAATGCCTAATTGTATTATTATTCTTTCCGGTGGAGAATGGGAGCTGAACCTCAACGTAGAATGTGTCATTAGTACTTCTAGTTCCGATCTCATTTGCTTCTGAAGAGATCAATCTGAAACCAATTCAGTTTTTTAAGTAGTATTTTAAAGAACATAAGCATACCACGTATATTTAGGTGAAAAGTGATAACTTCTAGTTACTGAGTAATATCTCTGAAGTCCCTAACATCAGATAATTAGAAATGGAATGTGCTTAAATGGTTTACCAGCTTGTACTATAAAGAAAAAATAATCAGGCACTCAGTGATTTGGACACTTGTGAATACTGAGATTACAATGTTCAGGGGCTTTAAACTTCTGAAAATTAATGTTTGTATTTCTTTCCACTTAGTGTATAGTAAATCAGCTTGACTTTTTAAAATCCGCCCCCCCCCCCCCCCCCCCCCCCCC